CTCGTGCTGCCAAGAACTGGGATCTGTGGTGAAGCGCCGCTCAGCGGCGCATGCTTCTCAGACGCGGTCCTGTGACCTGTCACCGCCCTTGCTAAGCTTCTGAAGCTCAACAATAGCCAGGACGATGGCGAGGCGGATGCTTGTGCATCGCCACCATACTAGAATAGCTGGTTTAGGTGTGCGGCTATTGTGCGGCGCGTCGAGACACAGGGCTAGAGCCAGGCGTGCCTGCTGCGAAAGCTGCGGTTCTCGCTTTGTGACCCCGCGTATCAAGTGTGCTCTTTCGGAAACGCCAGCGCATATCCCTGGTTATCCTCAGTCGCCTGTCACAAGATATCACGGAGCTCGTAACTGACATTGCTTCATCACAGGCTGGACAGTGAGCGAGCGCGATTACTGAAATGCCTAGCAGAGGTGCGTCTGCCCAAGTGACGAAATGCCGTCTTCCTCACATGTTTCACTAGGTAAATGAGGACAGAGACAAGGTACGCGCGTTGTGGCGCTCACTTCGGCGCGAGTATCTGACGACGGCGCCCAGGCGGACATGCTCGCCGACAAGCTCACACGAGAGTACGCCCGCCATTTCTTTTTCTCCGCGCCGCCGCGCACCCCCACCTCCTTGCTAACACCGCGCCGCCGCAGGGTGAACGAGCTCCAGAGCAAGATCAAAGGGCTCAGCGAGGGCGAGTACGCCGCGGCGAAGCTGGACGTCGACCGGCTCCGGAAGGAGCTCGGCCAGTCGCCGCTGCCAAGCCTGCAGGCGACGATCGAGGAAAAGTCTGTCCAGTAAGTCCCGTTCAGCCCTGCCGTCTCATGCCTGCCCAGCCCCTGCTGACGTACACCCGCCCTCCCGCGCGCTCCCCGTCCCACACCCGTCCACGCACCCGCCCTTCCCGCACGCCCCGCCGCTGACACCCCGCCGCTGACGTGCGCCCGCGCACACGCACACGCATGCACGCACACACAGGTACCTCAAAGACCTCCGCACGCAGCTCGAGGCGAGCGCGGCACAGGCGTCGAAGCGCAGCGCCGCAGACGACGGCGGAGGCGGCGGTGGTGGGGGCGGCGGTGGCGACGGCCAGCCCGGCGCGAAGCGGCCTCGGGGCCGGCCCAAGGGGAGCAAGAACGGCAAGAAGGCCAAAGCGGCCGTCGACGCTGCTACCGCTGCTGCTGCTGCTGCCGATGCGGCGCTCACGCCCACAGCTTCGTCTGCCGCGGCGCCAACGGGACCTGCGGCAACTACGGCGCTCAGGGCGCCCGCGCTGGGCTCCGCGGATGGCGCGGCGTGAGCGGCTTCTACCTCTGCTCTGCCAAGAGCGGTGGCGGGCGGCGCCCAGTGCGCGAGGGTGTGTGGGCGCGCGCAACAGACTACGGGCGGTGCAGTGGGGCCCCGCCCCGGGGGTGCCTCCACGGCAGAGCGTACTGTGCAGAGCACGCTAAGCTCCTTTCTTTTTCCTCGGACGTGGAGAGGGGGAGGGCTGCAACTGGCAGGCACGAACGGATCTGAACGGCTGTTTTCTTGTGGCACGACTAGTAGACGTTTGGTTTTTGACGCGCAAATCTGGAACATTTTAATGTTTTCCATTGCCCTGTAACATGTGCGCGCCGGTGGTGCGTTTACGGCCCTGAGCTTCGAAGGTGGGGGTGCGAGGTCGGATTTCGTCGTGTTTGGGCGAGCTGGAGTGGCGCAGCAGTTTTGATGCGAGACTCCGTCCTCAGCTGCAGCGTCATATGTCCCCGCGGAACCTTTAACTCTCAATTAATCATGCAGCCAGTTGCTGATGGGCTGGGTCGAGACTCACGAATTTACGTCGACAGATCATGAACACACGGTGAAGTCCAAACGAGTCCTCGTTGATGATGCAGGATTTGCTGAGCCTGCTCGGGACATGCACCTGCCTGTTGAGTACGTGTTAGCGCGCAAGGCAAATGCTGATGGACACCGAGTAACCGCTGGAGCTCCACATCATGACCAGCAGATCCGTGCAGGAAAAGACAAAAGGCTTCGCGCGAGAATGCCAGCTCGGTGCACATCAGGCCCAGATTCATTAATCATGATTCATGCCATTATTATTAGAGCTGCACCGGGTTTGATGCTGACAATAAGGAGAAATTGCTCATAAATCAATGGGGCAACAGCACCTGCACGGAAATTGGAGGGCTGCTGTAGAGTCAGCGTAATGGAAACTGTGCAATATATGCGCCCGATATACGAGCGTGGTGCATGATGTGCGAAGAAGGCTGCTTCCAGGGAGAAGTGCCTTCCGGCCGCGTCCGTCGATCATCCCGCGACGCTGCAAGCTGGTCGACCCAGAGAGAACATGGCAGACGCCGTTGCGCGCTGGCAGCCGGCACAGAATGTCCGGCGGTGGCACTCCACCGACATGCATTGAGTGTCTGAAACGCAACATGGAAGGAATGCTGGGGAGACAGGCGGACGCGTCTCGCGTGTGTGCGCGCCCGCGACGCGCTAGATGCTTCGTCCCGACCCAGCTGTCAAGCATCAAAGTGTCCCACGTCTGCGTAAATCATGATGCATGGTTGCATGACGGCCGATGCGCACGGACGGACGTGCCAACGCGTCGCGCACACCCACCCTACATGAGCAATTCGCTGCGCAAGTCCGCCGCTCGAACTTTTCGAAGGACCTGCGCCGCGGGCGCCTGTGCTGCACCGCTTAATCAAACAGCGGGGCAATTTAATGGTGCCATTCGGTGGCACGACTTCGATGTCTCTCGTCTCACCTTTCGACGAGAAGCGGCATCAATTTTAATGGATGGTGTTGATTTAGTGCGCGAGACGGTGTGGGGCTCCTTGACATGAGAGTCGGTAGAGTGACGGTCTGCAGACGTGCGCCCTATCGGGCCAACACACGTACCGAGCGGACCTGGACGTGTCTCTGAGGGGGGGCGGAGGAGATAGGAAGCAGGGACGCGTCGAGGCGCAAAGCACGGCGCGGCGCGGCGCGTTTCAGCGACGCCTTCTTCGCCCGTTGCTAGGCGGGCGAGGGCGCTGTTTCAGGCTCAGACGGAGACACGCGTCCGTTAAGCTCGCCGGCGCGTCCTCGAGACGCGAACGACGGGGGCCCCAACCGTGCATGGGTCGCGCCCGGCGCGTTATCGCATTGCGCGACTCATCATTGCGCTTCGCGATCGGGGCGGACTCCCACGGACGCCCTCGTCATGGCGGCGCCAAATGGGACGAGAGGGGCTGCCATGCCAAGCTGGGGTGGGACTGTTGTGCGCGGCGATCGCAGGGAGAGAAAAGGTCGCTGGCGGCGGCTGACCGGTCAAAATCCATGTGGGCCGCGGACAATATGCCAAAGGAACCCGGAGTGTGCGGCAGCGTGCGAAAGAGACAGATTACGCTGTTCGACGTGGCAGGGGCACGCAATGTATCCCGGTATGCGCATACACAGCCCCTGAGGGCAGCGGGCTAGCCAAGCACGGTGGCTTACTGACAGGTGCGGCGCTGCTATCCAGAATTCCCGGTGCGAACGCCATCTCTGAGCACGCCAAAAGGGCTATCTGGCTGGGGCGGATGGCTAAGCGAGGCACAGGACAGCTGCTGAGTAAGGCAACAGACAGCCATCGCAGCGAGGATGGCGCACCGGTGCGCACATAGCAGCGGGCTGACTGAGGACGTCGGCTTATTCAGCACGAGAGATTAGCACTTTGCAGCGGGTTGACCGGGGCAGCCAGCCAATCATCGGCCGCCCCGGCGCCAGATTAGAGTTGCATTCAGAGCATTGGATACGGTTTCGCCTTCCGCGTTTGGAAAGGGATGAGTTAGCAGTTTGCCTCCGTCGGATTAGAAACCGGTCGTGACGGTTCGTGACTCGGTGACCACCGCACACGCCGCCAGCAGCCGGGGGGGCACTGCTGGCCCTCGAGGACACGTCGTCCTGGGCGTCGAAGGGCTGCTGGCAGCTCAGGCACCGCGACTGCGGGCGCTGCGGGACGGTCTGTGCCATCAAGGCGCTCGTACGACGCTGCGGGTGCCGACAGGGATGGTTACGATGCCATCCGAGGATAATATCGTGCCAGCCCGCATAGTGGTCTCGCGGCGGGCGAGGGAGACGCAGTGGGAAAGCCGAAAGATGCCGCGGCCGATGGGACGAGCAGGTGCGGGCAGGCTCGGCAAAATGGGAGATCGGGCGATTGGATCTGAAGTGAGTCAAGGCAGGGAGGTCAGCGTGTCGGCGTCACTCTGGCTATGTTTGGGATCGGATCCGACGAGCAATTGACTGCCTGCCTGCGTGTCCCGTCGCAGTCATCCAACGCTCGCTCACCTAAACACTTCCGCCCACAAATCGTCTCATCTCAGATCTCCTTCCCGGCCTGCGATGCTGCCCTATATTATCCCCCTCTCCTCCAGCTTTCTGTCCTCGCCCCTCCTCGCCTTTCCTCAGCCGCCTCGTCCTCCCCTGTCTATCGCCCTCGCCCCTCGCATACAATGGTTCAGGGTGGCTACTCCCCAGTGCACGAGGCCAGTCTCGTCGATCCTGCTCTGCATTCACCAGCAGTGCTCGAGTTGTTGGATGTAAAGATGTCCCGCACCCTAATCGGTAAGTCGCAATGGTTCTGGCCTGTTGTGGCGCGTATTTACCCTCGCGGTCTAGAATATGTCGTCGACTGTGTGGTCGAGACGGTCGATTACGCCATGGGTCGCCCCTCGTCCTCTCGTGGACGCTCGTCATCACGGCAACAACAACACTCGACCTTCCTCAACTTTGTCAACAACCTGCTCACAAAGGCCGAGGTCAAGGTCCCGGTCCTGCTCGTCGCTCTCGTCTACATCGACCGGGCGAAGCCGCATCTCCAAATTGCTCTCGAGCAGTGGGCATGCGAGCGTGTATTCCTCGGCGCGCTCATACTCGCGAACAAGGTTCGTTCCGCATCGCATCTCGGACATACAACACAGCATGCTGATACGCTTTTTTACTCCTACCAGTACACAAACGACTCGACGCTCAAGAACGTCCATTGGGCGCTCTGCACTGGGGTCTTTGGCAAGCGCGACGTCGGCCGCATCGAGCGCGAGTTCCTCGATGTCCTCGACTACGAGCTACCCTCCACGAGTCACGACCTGCTCTC